ATATAATTAGAATATAGGAATTAGAATTTTGGCAAATTAAGAGACTATAATGGATTATAATCGAGTATAATCGATTATAATTGATTTTATAATCGATTATAATCGAGTATAATTGAAAATATCACGATTATAACCAGTTATAAATCCCTTAAAGACCTAATTTTGGTAATTATAATCGATTATAATTGTCAAAAAATAATCATAATAATCCGTTAGAATCGATTACTTACGCCTAAACTTGGATGCGGGATAGATTTTTCTGAGTTGTATGAAATCACTTTGTTATCAATTTTATTGTCTAATTGAGATATATAAAATCGATTTTTTACAAGTCTAAGATCTGTATAAAAATCGATATGATGGATTGCATTCTAATTTTACCGATGCGGGTAGCACAAATGACGATGCAGTTTCATACTATTTTTTTATGTGCATTAGATAACAATTAAAAATGCAAAATGTAGCTTTCGAATTTATGTAAGGTTGCAATATACAGCTGTTGCTTGTCTACTAAGGACCCGGCTATAAATATTGCGCATTCTAACTTTACAGAATTAACATGTTAGCTCTGAAAGTTTGGATAACGAATCAATTGATTTTTGTTAGGACCATTGAAAATATGGATGAAATTTGTATTCGGGTGGGTTTTAGTTTTTTTTTTATTTTCAACGCAAAATCAGAAATCACAAAAAGTTTCAGATTGGTTTGAGTCATATGTAATAAATTCAGGCATTTGCAGAAAGTTGATTGCTGTGCAAGTAACCCGAGTTGACCTCCATACACCGAAAATGCTTATCATACAATTCCATACATCAAGTGTGTGGAAAATTGCTCGTCATACAATTTTCATACAATTTCTAAAAATGGTTGAAAAAAGAAAAAAAACTTTTTTTCTGCGGCTGTTTGATTCTATTAAAACAATCTTGCGATGAAAAAAATGAGGTTTTGCTTTTTGAAAAAAATGCATATCAAACAATTCCCATATATGGAAATTGTATGACTGGCATTTTTTTGCTGGCGACATAAAAAATTTTCCAAGTAGTTTTGTTTGAAATTACCCCAAAATATTTTTTGTTTTTTTTTCAATTGCAAATCGAACTTTGTACGCAAACAAACATTTTCCAAATTTTTTTGCATGCAAAATTTATTTTTTTTGTGTGCATAACGTAGTCCTGGATACAAAAATGTGGGGATTTTTCATTTTCGCTGTATAAATTTTTTTCAAAAACGCTCAAAACTTCATTTTTTTGTTTGGCATGTTTATGTGCTTAATCAAGGTCTGATAATTAAAAAATTCAAATTTTTAAATATTCATCTTTGAAAATATTTGCCAAATTTCAAACTTTTGTAACTTTTGTTATATCATTTGTGAAAAACAGGTTCAGGACAATTCAGGTCGTTTTCTATGCATCGTAAATGCAAGATTGTCCAACGTTTGGCTTTTTGAGCAAACCAAAGTCTTAGTGACTTGTGTTAATTTAAAAACAGAATCCAAAATTTTTCAGAAGTTAAATTTAGAAACAAAAAATCATTTTTTCGATTTTTGAGAAAACACATATCATCCAATTTTCATATATGGAAAAATGCCTATCATAAAGTTTTCATACAATTTTCTGTACGTAAGGAATTGTATGAAATTGTATGACAAGAAGTTTCTCATATACGGAAATTGTATGATAAGAAATTTTGGTCAACCCGAGAACTGTGATTAAGCCCACCAGAACAAGCAAAAATTAGTAAAATTATAGTATTTTTTCTCGAAAATTAAAAAATAAATATTTTCATTTATTCTACCTAATTAAATTAGAAAAATTAGGCCAATTAAATAGAAAAAATTGAATCAATTTTTCTGGCGGAAATAATCACTGCTACTTGCGCAGCAGCCAATTTTCTCAAAGACTTCAATATGCATCTTTGAAAATATTTGCCAAATTTCAAACTTTTGTAACTTTTGTTATATCATTTGTGAAAAACAGGTTCAGGACAATTCAGGTCGTTTTCTATGCATCGTAAATGCAAGATTGTCCAACATTTGGCTTTTTGAGCAAACCAAAGTCTTAGTGACTTGTGTTAATTTAAAAACTGAATCCAAAATTTTTCAGAAGTGAAATTTAGAAACAAAAAATCATTTTTTCGATTTTTGGGAAAACACATATCATCCAATTTTCATATATGGAAAAATGCCTATCATAAAGTTTTCATACAATTTTCTGTACGTAAGGAAATGTATGAAATTGTATGACAAGAAGTTTCTCATATACGGAAATTGTATGATAAGAAATTTTGGTCAACCCGAGAACTGTGATTAAGCCCACCAGAACAAGCAAAAATTAGTAAAATTATAGCATTTTTCTCGAAAATTAAAAAATAAATATTTTCATTTATTCTACCTAATTAAATTAGGAAAATTAGGCCAATTAAATAGAAAAAAATGAATGAATTATTCTGGCGGACATAATCACTGCTACTTGCGCAGCAGCCAATTTTCTCAAAGACTTCAATATGCAGAGCTGATATATAAAAAAAGTTCTTATAGTTTTGATTTTTTTGGAGTGAAAAAATTTGTGAATCATCGAAAATTTAAATGAGTTACGAGCGCCGATTTTTTTTTGCTTTTTCGCAGAGTTCTAATTATGTAGTTATCAAAACTCATTTTTTGATAGCTCATTTTTTTAATCGGTTTTGTTAAATCTGCTGAGATTTAATAAAACAATTGTTTTTTTGCTATCTAGTTATTTTTACATGTCACTTAAGATGATGTCGTAATTTGTGGCGAGTAAATAATCACTCAGGTTAAAAAGTTGGCAATAGTTTCGACAAAAACCGTAATAGAGTATTGGAAATATAGTATGAGGGAATGAATTAAATATGGGGACGATTTTAAAATGAGCAGTTTCTTTCAGCGAATTCAGATTTATTAAGCAAAAAACAGAAACTGAATTAGTCTCATAAATATAATTCAATTTTAAAGACTTATTTATCACTTTTGTGAAACCTCAGTCTTGTTCTAAAAAAACGAAATGTTTGTGCTCCGTGTTTTTTTTTCATCTGCCATTTTCAATTTTTTCCGTTTTTTGTCATTTTTACATGCAATGTTATATTATTCTTCTCAAAACGACGTTTTTTTATATCATCTAAAAGTCGTTGACGCTCAAAATTTCTGAAATTTGTTGTCATCAACAATTTTTAAAGTTGTCTTGAATTTGCCAATTTGGCAAAATTGGGACAATTAACGAGCTATGCTATATAAACTATTCTATAGTTTTCAACAATATCATTAGTCTACGTCTTAAACTTTTTAAATAATTCTAACTTTTGAGCTAAACCTATACAGAAAAAAGTCTTAAAAAGTTCGGGTTCAGTTTTTTTTTCGTTTTTCGATGTTTTATTTGTTCTTTTTTTGCTTTGAAAAATTGTATGGCAGATTGTTATTGAATGAAAATTGCTATTTGTTGGCGTTTTATTTGTTTAATTTTTCAAATAAAAAATTGTATAGCGACCATAATTGAACACGAATTAATAGTTATCGGCGTTTTACTCGCATATTTTTGCGATGAAAAACTGTATGGCCGATCGTTTTTGAATGAAAAACATTTTGGAGTAACGAGCCTGAAGCTAATCATAAAATTGATGATTTTGAAAATTTTTTGTTTTGAATTGTTCATTTGAAACTAAAAAGAAATTTTAAACACTTGTTTGCTACATTAATGTCATTTTCTGTCTCCAAGAGCTGTTTCAGAAAATGCCTAAAACTTTTCAGACGAAAGCTGCATGTGCATGGATTAATTTCTTAAAGCTAGGACAAAAACTTTTTAGCAGATGAAAATTGGCGCTCAAAACGTTCAATGCTTTGCTATGATATAAGAAATAGTTATGATTCAAATGAGGTCTTGTTAAAGTTTGTCAAATTGAAGCTTGAACTTTGAGAAAAGTAAATTTAAATTTAAGGTACTTCAAATATGATGAAACTCAAGTTGACTTTTAATTGATTCCAGCGACATTAACATAACCTTACTTAAATCTTAGAATGATTTTTCGCTTTTATATTGTGATCATTTTCATTTCTTATCATTTTGTGGAGCAGTCAGATATTGTTGTTTTTCCATTACCAGAAGTTAGTTGGTCGTCGCAAATTTTTATTATACCAGTGGAAACGCCAAACAACTATTTGTGGGTCCTGTGCAAACAAAGAAGCAGTTTTTACTGTATTGTTTCTTTCGAAACTGAAAATGCCTTAAATTACACTGCAGTTGAGCTTCAAAATAAAATCTTTCCAACTGCCTTTCATGGCGATAGAACTTCGCTTAACAAACTCCAGATTCTGAAATCTCAAGCGCGCATAGCTTCAGATGAAGTTTCCAAACCACTTTTTGAGAAGCATAACTTGTTAGGAGTTCAGAAAAACTATTCTTTGAGACAATATGACAGTTACTACGTGCATGGATTTTTAAGATCACAACAAACGCCCAGAGAGTATTTTTTGAGTTTAACAGATTACAGCATCGAGAATAAAACACTAAACTTTTTGAAGTCATATTATCTGCCTCGTTGCAAAGTTCACGTGATCAGCATGTTAGGCTTTGGCGTCGGCGAGTTAAAGCGAAGCCCGCGTAGGAGCATACTGAGAGGTTTGAATCCAGAAGCACCGTATCGAATAGTGATTGGAAAACACTGGACCCCTGACATTCCATACAACAACCCCGAACAATTTTTGACGTACAGTTGGTTCAAAAAGAATGTTATTTGCCAAGACCAGCCATGGATATGTGGACTTCAACGAAGAACCTGAAGTTTTCGGGCAGTTTTGTAGTGTAGAAAAACGAATCGTAACAACAGTTTTGACTGATTTTGGAAACAATTTTAGAAAATAAATTATAAAAATGCGATGAAATAACCTGGAAGTTTTCCAACTTCTAGATTGGGTATATCGAGTACGAGAAATGTTTTTTTTTCTAAACAGAGAGTTCAAGGATTGATTTCTGAGAATTGAAAGAAAAAACATTTAATAAGGCTTTTTGTTCATTTAATAAAAGTCTTTAACTTTTTGGTTCTTTCAACTTTCCGGGATAGAAAGTTATGTTAATGAAACTTTTTGATATTTGATAAGTACAAAATTCAGCGGCCTTTTGTTTAGGTAGACCAATTTCTCAGGCACTTCAAAAATTTTTGGCCTTTTTTGGCGTTTTTAGGCCCTTCAGAAAAATTTTGATAAAAATTGCAATTTTTCGGCCGGCGCTATCTCTCAAAATTAAAAAATATTGGCGGGAGCCCCAAGAGCGTCTGACCCCCTGCCCTTACATCTATAAAAGGGCTACTGATACAATTTCAAGCAGAATTCTAATAAATTCTGTTTCTTTGTTTTTAATTACAATCAAAATTTGTCAAAAAAAAATAGAGTTTTTTGCCTCTATAGTACGAAAAGTTCATTTTGCTACAAAAATTGTTAAAAATTTCAAAAACATTGTTTTTATCACTCTGTTGGTTTGAGCTGATGCTTTTTAGCAAAAGATAAGTTTTTGAAGATTTTAGGAGCTGAGAAGGAGCTTTATGTTAGCATACTTTCTTTTGAAGAAAAATTACTGTTTGAGTAAAATAGGGTTAAAATAGCCCTCCAAATTTTGTTCATTTAAATTTTTTTTAAACAATTATTCTGTAAAAACAAAACCAAATTTTCTATATACCCGGGAAATAGAAAGAAGCGTTTTGAGTTACAAAAAAAGTTTGGTAAACGCTTCGGGCTAGTGAAAATTTTTGTTTGCGATGTTTTTCGAGCTCTAATTAGCAAATATATGAAAAATATTTATGTATTTCGTTAAAAAACCCTAAGCAAAACAAGGATAGCTAGTTACTGTGCAAGCAGCATAAAATTTTGCGACCGAAGTCTTAAAAAAACAAAAAAAAAATTTTAACTAAAACTTAGGCATTTTCGACATTCCTAACAAAACAAGCAAATTGGAAAATTAATTAGAAAAACGAAAAATATAAAAATTGTCAAAAAATTTAAAAAAATGTTTTTAAAAATATCAAAAAAAAACAGTTTTTGAATGTATTTTTTTGAATTTTGAAAATTTTTTTAAATATGTTTGATTTCCAAACGGGAAAACTAAGTTTCCATGGCCTAACTGTGCATAAATAATCTATTTTAAGCCTTCTCGCTCACCTTATTCGCTCGAAACTAGACAAAAAATCAAAAAATTCAAACGGTTTTTTCTTGAGAGTGGGAAGTTTCGTCCGAACCATTTAGAGACTTTTAATCGCGACTGGAAGGACTTAAACCTGATATGTCATTTGATAATTTTTCTATGCTTATTTGGGGTACCTGACTATGCAAGAAAAAAGAAACGACAGAAGCAAGAAAAATTAAACACACGAACACAAAATTCCTCACCTATTTTCAGATGGTCAAAACAAAAACATAGTCGATAAAAAAATTGCTTTTGGGTTGAAAAAATGCATCGAAAAAGTTGCTTTTTTAATTTCAACCAAAGCGAGAGAACGAAACATCACTTGAATTTTGAAGTTTCCTCTGCACTTACACAAATTATAACGATCGCGACTATAATGATCAATGACACTACTTCAAAGGGCTTTGTTCACAATCAATCCTTGATTTTGTAAAGACGTTGTTGGGCCAGTGTATCATTAATGATAAGATTAAAGATTTTGTTGATGAGGGAGTCGGAAAGACTTTGATCATTACAGAGGGAGTCAGAATTTTGTTTACTCTTGTGTGTTTGTTCGGAAGCTGATAATGCTCTTGGCTGGGGAGGAATTTCATGCTTGAAGGACCGAATGTTTGAAAAATGTCAGCCAATCAAACTCGCTAAGCGTTCCTTTTGGCTAAATGCGTTTCTCACATAATCGAAATCAATATTAACAGAAAATGTATTAAATCAATGGAAAATTGTCAAAAGTATTACAAATTGTGGGTAACAACCGCAATACTATTCAGATAAACATCATGATTTATGAATTCAAATTCATAAAAATTTTTCAGTCTAGAAAACTTAACTGCCTTTTATCTAATCGGTCAGTATTAACACTAATGGCCTGGATTTATTTTCTTATTTTGTGATTTTCGCGGTTTACTCTGAGGTTTTGAATTAACTTCAACCACTCAGCCCCTCCAGTATGAGGGACGCCACCCTCTTGGCTGCTTCTTTAAATTGCACTAAAACAACAGAAAAAATATAGTTGAAAAAGTTGCTAATACCGACATCAGAAACCGGAGGAGTTCTTCAAAATACTTCACCCTGACGCTGATGATTTTACTAACCACATCGATTATAATGGATTTTCATGGTCTAAAAAGTTGTAAATATAAACGATTCTCATGTTACGTTCAGACAACAAAAATGAACTAAAAATGGATTTAAAACCATTTTTACTGCAAAAATTTAATGCATCATAATTTATTTGGGTACTACTATGATAGAGTGGTCCCTCGAATACGCAACTATGATAGACAGGTATTGCATGCATTTTGCATGTTAAAAATTTGACAACTGATTTGTGTATAAATTATTCATTTCAAAAATCTGGCGAAAAAAGTTGAGTCAGAAACCTTTCAGATTAAAAATTGTAATTACTATAATTTTTTTATCGAAAAAAATGCTCGCTTCAACTTATTTTACGATTTAACAACCATAATTGAATTTGTTCAGTTGTCATCAAAGTTCGATTTTGGAAATTTTTTTACTGCATTTTTGACCTTAAACTTCTCAGGGGAAGGTTTAACGAAACAAAAAAAACTTAAGATTTGTTTGAAAATATATTGCGGCACCTTCCTGAATGGGGAGATCATAATTGTTAAACATTTGACAGCCCTGCGTGTCTTATTCGCAAGGGACCTGGTAATTTTCAAGGGACCCCGCTATCATAGTAGTACCTTCATTTGATTATATAATTAAAAGAAAATCATACTAAACTGTATATATTTTTTCATTCTCCTTTTTTCGCTTTGTTTTGAAATTCATTATATTTAATTGGAGTCGATTCTAATGGATTATATAATAAGTAGTAAATCACATTAATATGGATTTTTTTTCACTTTTCTTGTTTCGGTCCGTTTTTGAGAAAGGAATAGATAACAAAAAACATCAGATTGTTGGGTGTCGGATTCGGGGTTCCGTCAGGCGAGGTCAACGAGAACTCAGCAAGGTTTTCATTTAGTTCAATAGTCATCTGGTCGAACTAACCTTGAGGAACGTACACGTGGACTACAGCCTGGTCTCCACTTCTGGTCATGTTTATCCACGGATCGGAAGGTGCTGGAACTATCGAGATAATTAAGAGCAATTTTTTACAACTAATAGAAAATCACTTAATAAAATTTTCAGAAAATGTTTCATCAATACGGCCATAACAGGTTCTTTGCTCACGAATGCCTTTTTCTGTCTTCGCTAACAATATTTTTAAGGTCAAACAAATTGAAATTTTGAGCTCTTCAAAATCACTATAAAAACCCCAACGTTATAATCCATTTTCAATTGATGATAATCGATTTTTTTTCTTTTTTATGGGCAATGACAGTGAAACTTAAGTATAATCGATTTTTTTTCATGGAACTCCATTGCGGGATCGACAAAAGGCTGTTTCGGCATTTTTCGCAACAATTAAAAAAACTCTGTTTAATGGAAAATTTCGAAACAATTTCGTTTGCGTAAGAGTTTTTAAGAAAGCTAACCATCTGAATTATATTGTATGGATTTTTTAAAAATATTTTAACTCTTTTCCATTAATCAAAGTCCTGCAGTTGTTTACAAGAAGGTTTCAGCAACAAGAAGATCTGTCCTCAGAAAGAAAAATTTCACGCGTTGATTCAGTCAAATTCCGTAAAAAGTTCATCAATTAATTATAAATATTTTTATACTGGTTTCTGATGAAGCGACAGAAAATCTGAGGGACTATTCAATCTCTAACTAATCGAAAACAAAAACTTGTAAATTCATTGTCCTGTAATTGAGAGAAATTCACATTCAAACGCAATACAACAGTTACATTAAAACAAAAATTTGTTTTTATTTCAACATTTGAATATTAATAATTTTGTGCAAAAAAATGCGTGTTATCCTTAATGCGGCAAATTTTGCTCAGAACCACATATCTATACATTAGGCTTCTGTTTATTACAAAAGGACCGACTAATTCAGCATCGTACTTGATAAAAAAACAAAAAACAATAATAGAATGATACGAGATAATCTAATATTTACTCTATATGAAACATTACCAAGCAAAAGTGTTGTTTTACATAGGATTGGGAGAACGCCATTAGACTTGAAGGTGTTTGTCAAGCGCGTCAAGCAGAAAAAAGTGAAACTACTTTTTGAGCGCACAAAAAGATAAGCGGCTGCTGAATTATCAAAATTCAAATCGAATTACAGGAATCGAAAGAAAAAATTCTGAAAAAAGAGCAATTCCGATAAATGTTTCCTTCACTTTGGGTGTTTAAACCTTACAGAAATCTCGAACCGTGCTATTATTTTTATATAAACAATTTTATTGAAGATTCAGGTTTTAATTGTTACTTTGAATTTTTGCTGCCAAATTGAAAAAAAACTGTGTACACTAGATTAAAAATTTGCATACATTTAATGTTAGGATAACTCTTGTGATTTTAATGTTTTAGTTATTGAGGCTTTGAATTTGAACATTAATTTAAGTGTTAAACTTTTTCTTGATTGTTAAATCTTTATTTCACTTTTTTCGCAATGGATTTGGTTGATAGTTTCAAAAACTTGTAGGCGTACAACTCGGTTGGAGGAAATTTAGAAAATTTACTCTTTATCCTTTACGGAGTCTGTTCTTGTTACCGAAAAAACCTCTTTTTTAGCTGCATGTCTGTGTTGTCGTACACAAGTGTAACCCTTATTGTAAGACTGGTTCGTTGTAGGTTTTATACGGTTGGGCTAGTATGGCCGGTTTCAATTACTAGCGCGTTTGATAATTTATTCCGAAAAGCGGAGCAAATATATGTTGTGATTGTGTGTTTTAACGTAGTA